CGGCAGAGAACACCACAAACCACAATGGACAAACAAAGAGTGAATAGGTTCTGTTATTCTTACGCGTAGAATGTTCATATTTCGAAATGTTTAGCGTTGTAGATCGATCATATTTCTTACTCCGTACTATTCCTTACAGCATGTTTAAATCAACCTAACTTAACTCCGCGTCAGATAGCACCTGACGCTTTCACTAATTTTAAAATCGTTTACTTTTCTGGACACGTAAGCTTGGGCCGTGAGCTTAAGACACCTGTGCATAGACAGAAAATTCGCTGTTGCTTCCGTAGTTTCCTAAAAATGCATTGTTTACCTGTATTCATCCAAAGCTAAGACAAATAATAACTGGTTAGTCTACAGCTGCTGGCCTGAATCCATCTCTTATTCAATTTTTCTTTAGGCCCAGGCACCTAATATATTAACCGTGCTACAACTTAGCAAAGTATAGACAGCTGGGTAATTTTCGACGACTTACCAAAGCGCGATGTCTTTCGTTTCACTATTTATCTAAGTACCCGAGGTCTTAAAGGTTAAATAAGCACGTATTACGTCCACTCGGCCGATTTCTGCAACCGACCAGTAAATATATTGTCGCCAAAAGAACTTACAAAGCGTTTCGACTTTACTATTAAACAAAATAGTTTTACAGCAAGCGCACACGCCGAGAACTTTGTGGTAAATTGAATCATTTTTCAAACTACGAAATGTCAAAGCCAGATAGGAAGCTAAACCATAAAAAGATCCTCTTAAATTTCATTGCAACTTAAAAACTTCAAATATTTTCAACTGAAGAGCTGTGTACAGTATTCGCATGGCGAAATTTGGCTCAAAGAAATGAACTCTGACAACAGTCCACGCGGAGCACAAGTATAGATTAATCAAACGAGGCCGAATGGTAAAAGACTGTAGCTGATTGCGGAATTGAAAGAGGCCTCGTGTAGCTACTTTTGAAATTCACGGTATCGTGACATCCTTCCACAGTTGAAATAAAGATGCTATGATCATGTTCTCTAGCTAGAAAACAATCGAACCTCGATTATCCAGACTTTTTTTCTCTGGTCCCAATTTTGTCATGAATATTTATTAGTCATGATCACGATCCGTAGCCATATTCTTTTCAAAACTACGCTTTCAAAAAGCAAAAGCAGCGCTCCCACGCGTCGTAACTTATTAAAAACATTTTTGTTCCTCATCAATGTTCATATTCTTGATTATCCGGAACCCCAATTCTCAAGACTATTTCGTCTAGTCCCAATGAGTCCGGATAATCGAGATAATATCACTGCAACACAAAAAGCACAACATTTTCAAAGAGCTGTGTACAGTGTTCGCATGGCGAAATTAGCTCGAAGCAATGAAATTTCATGCTACACCCGCAATAATGCTTTGTAAAACTGAACTCTGATGACAGCCCACGCAGAGCACAAGTTTCGATTACTCAAGTGAAGCCGAATGGCTCGAGACTGTAGCTTATTGCAGAAGTGAAAGAGGTCTAGTGTAGCTCGTTTTGAAATTCACGGTATCGTGACATCCTTCCCCAGTTGAATTAAAGATGCTTTGGTCGTGTTCTCTAGGTATAATCATGAGTATATACTTAGTTTCATCAAACCATGTATAAAAAGCGGCGTACAAGAACTGAACAACCCTGAGTTTTTCAAAGTATGATGTGTTTCAATGTTCTATATGTCCTATGTACCTTAAACTACCTAAATACCGCAGTCGAACCTCGAAAATCCGCACCTCAATTATCCGGATTTCTCTATTATCCAGACTTTTTCTCTGGTCCCAATTTTGTTTTTAATATTTATTAGTCATGATCAAGATCCATAGCCATATGGTGAAACCTCCGAGAACCTCTATTAGAATGGCTTGATCTACGAGACACCTCGTAGGGAAAGAAATGAAGATTCATCGTCGGCTCAAAGCAAAATTCTCTCTGAAATTTCCACGGGCCATCGCCTACAAATAGCATTTATTATCCCTCTGAGCGTGTCAGGCTGCTTATATTAACTGCTAACCAACTTGAAATCATTTCGCTTATATTTTATCTAACACTACTTACCGTATTAGCTTTTATAATGAATCCAAGGGACGCACGATAACTCTGCCAACGTCGATCGTCTATGGTAAAGTTTGTAGTGGGTATTGACTCTTCTTACAATCAATTATTTATAAAAGGTGTGTCTACGTCTGTGGGGGTGGGGGTGGGGACATAGGGGGAAACCTTGAACACAAGCTATCTTTTCTCATTTGTCTCATATAGCGAATTGTTAACAGCTGCAGAGGCATAGTACCTGCAGGAAACAAAATGGATTGTTTCTTTGCGACTGCTTTTGCCTCAGATAGGAATTGAGCAGCTCATATGCCTTTGAACATCACCCCAC